CAGTACACACTGAACCCCTTCCCCTATGTACGACACGGCACCAACCCCCTGCCCCCCTCGTGCGTACGTACTTTATCAACGGCCCCTTGTCGCGTTGTTGTAGTTAAAGTCATTCTTTTAGATTTGGGTGGAGATATTTGTCAGTGTTGCTTTTGTATCCGTTTTGAATAAAATCTGGAGAGCCTCCAGTTAGCTGTTAGGGCAGCCCGTCATGCATATACACAGTTACTGCAGTATACTTTTAAAGCTTTCTATTTCTTTTTTTTTGGGGGGGGGTGTCTTCTATGTATGTGTACTACACATGTACATATACATACATCAGCACGTGTTTGCATGGATACATGGTTTGAACACTGTGGCTATTGCAACCAGGGGCCTATTTCATGGAGCTGCTTAAGCATAAATTTTGCCCAAGTGTTAAAAACAGTTACTCAATAACATAGGGTTGCTGGCCTAAGCTCCATCTGATGTATGTTGGTTTTGAATGGTATTTACTTGTACATTTTGGTTAGCAAGACAAATACAGAGAGATTGGGCCGGTGACCTTATTTACTGAGCAACGGTTTTTTGCACTTAAGCAAATGTTTTGCTTTGGCATCTCTATGAAGTTGACACCTGGTGAAGCAAATCTCCAGGGCTTTCTCTTGGGATAAGCAACTACTGAAACCTGCAGAGTGATTTTATTGAGTGCAGTTTTTTCACACTTTGCAAATGTTGTGCTATGCTCCTCATTAATAAATTCAAAACAGCAAACAAATTTCTGTCTCTTGATGTTTATTTATTATGTGTCCAAATGTTTGTGACTCGAATTGACTCGGGCAAAATAAATGACTCGACTCGACTTCTCGGTGTGATGACTCGACTCGACTCGAGTCTCTGCTATAAAATGACTCGACTCGACTCGAGTCACAAAAATCAATGACTCGTTACAACTCTGCTACGTAGCTTGTCGATGTTCGGAACCGTTCTTTTTTTAAATTAAAATTTCTACTGCCACTGTGAAAATAGAGGGTGAATCCTGGATTAAAAAACAATTAAAAAGGGATGAGGTTTTGACCAAACATCAGGCGTGCAGTCTTCTGAAATTCATGATGAAATCGCGCTGTCGCTGACTTTCATGTGTAGTTTTTTTTTCCATCTCGGAACTGTCTAGGGATACACGTATAGACTTTCCTATAGGAAAATGGTTCTTGAGAAGAGACTAGTCTTCATGTCTCGTGGAAGCTTCCCTTGTTGAATGTAATGTCGGACTTTGCTTCTATTAAAAAACCCTTCAGAGCCACGATTATAGCATATTCCCAGCGTATTGTGTCAAAAAAAATTTGCCTTCGGGCCCAACACTGTACACTTCCTTCCTTGACCACCTACATGTACCTGCTGCTTTTGGAAAGCTTTTTTTGTAATAAGAATAGTAAAAAAACCTTTTTTTGTAGTATTTTATAAATTTTGTCTTTAAGCAAAAATATTATTCCATAATGATAATGGTAAGAATATCCAAATTAGCACTCTCCTCCTCCATTGAATAATTTTGTTAGAAATGCTTTCCCCAATACCGTGTGGCCTCACAACGCAAGGTGGCGCTACCACATTACAAGTCCTTTGGCGATTTCGACGAAAAATCGATGAAAACCCCGTCTGGTGCCCCTCATCAAAACAGCCCTGGCCTCCCGTAGGTACTTCACAAAATACGGGCCCAGAGAAGTCCAGGCAGTAGACGGGTACTGGGTATCTGTGGACGCGGCGGAGGAGGAGCAGGTTAGAGATAGGGGAAGCAGATAGCCAGCTAGCTGAGCGCGGAGCAGATGAGGAGGCGGTTGCCGCTGCTAGCGTCATCATCGTCCAGATTTTTTCCATTCTCCCTCTCGCCGTTGAGTGATATGGTGATGCTGCCATTTCAGAGATAAAACGAAATTATCTTTGACCCAGGCCAGACGGATTGGAGATTGTTGCTCACGCCGGCGTACACACACCGCTCAGGCAGGACTATCCCCTCGCAGTGTGGTCACTTCTTCAGTGTGTGCCGTTGCCTGTCAATTTCTGCGCTCTGGAAATTGTTTTCTTCGAGGATCATTTGGTAAAAAACGGGTGTTAAGATCATTTTACGCTTGGAAATTGCGCGTTGGAGTCGGACTCAGCAAGAAGATGGATTTACATCAGTAGGAAACGTGGGAAGGTAATGTTTTCTCTCAAACATTTTGTCAACGTGCTAAATGTTACTTTAGGGAAGAAGACTTGAACATTCCATATCAGAAGAACAGGGTCATGTGGAATGTGTTGAAATTAACTTACCGTAGTATACATGTACATGATGTACATTCATGAAACCCTACTGTGCGTTATAGGCTGATACATTACATTAATTTGGAATGAACTGATTTATGTGCTCATGTAAGGTGCTTTTTCACTGTGAAAGTGGATCCCTATATCATAGGTTTCTTTGGCATCAAATTTCAAACTCGCATTTTCACAGAGAGATTGAAGGTGATTGATCAGTGATGAGGACCAATGTTATAGAATTTTAGAGGAATTCATCTTAAAATTAATAAGGAGAGCAAATGGTGTGCATTATTGATTCAGGCATGTCAGGGGAGGAAGACGAGTTTTTCCAAGAGTCCCACTCAGACGCCAGTAATTATTCCATGCAGTGCCCAAGTAATAGCCATCAGTAAGGAAAAAGATGTCCAGAAAAGTTCAATTTTGCAGGGAAAATACCCAAGTCATTTACTAAGGAAAGAGACTTTTTCAGACCAGTCTCATTAGGGTTTGTGCACGAGGTGTCAAGTGGCGTCCGTATATAGAACTCTTTCCGGAAGATGAGTCACAAGATCTCTCCAGTGCGTTGTATAGATCTATAAAAAATGTCATCAAATGTGACAAAGTACAGAATCAGATGCTTGTCGGAAGAGCCAGTTTCACACTTTTATCAGGATGCCAAACCGAGTGACGAGCACATTGAGCTCAGTTTGCATTTTGCACGATGCAAACTAAAACAAAGTTACCGAACAAGGAAAAGGACTTTTGGAAAAGTTATGATTGAAAATATTGTTTGAATATTGTAAATTATTTTACCACTGAAGCAGAGTTAGCTGGCTCGTAAATGATTTGTTCTATGTAAGACTTTGTACAATGTCAAGTTTATATTTACGCGTTCTGTTAAGACTAATGAAAATAGATTAGGCCTACTAATTTCTTATCAGCGCCTGCATTTATAATTTTGGTCCTGCACCAAAAAAATTAATGAAACCAAAATTTCATGATTTTTTAAAATTCAGTTTCCATTCTTTTGTGTTCATTCACATAATGCTCTTTCATAACTGTCATTTCCTCTCATTTTTGCCATTTTAACTTCTTCCTCCAAACACGAGCTACATGTATAACTCCATAGAACTGATACCGCCATCAAACCATTGCTGGGCAAATTTAAAGCTTACCAGTGAGTCAGTTTCTAAGTGGCAGTCTTCTTCATTTAAAGGGTTGCATTTTTCCTCGCTGAGATTTAATAATGAAAAAATCCCTCACCAAAATTTGATTAATGGCTGAGACAAACTGATAATCTAATGTGTTCATTGTGGTTATGTGCTTCTATGTTCAGTGTATTTAATATGTACCGGTACATGTAGTTGGGTCAGAGACAACTTCATAGTACATGTACATCGTGGTGGAAATAGTCTACGGTAGATTACTGTTAGTTTTTGCTTGAGTAGGTTGGTCATCCGTTGTGAGTTTGAGGATTTCTAGAATTTGAAATCCTACATAACCACTTTCTCGTAAATATTCATTTGAAACTAATAGAACTTTCCTTATGGAACTGTAACCTCACAAAATAATAAACTGGTAGGCCTATTTTTTGGCACTACACGTACATGAATTTTCTAGTCTTGTGGAAATTAGGCAACGCGTTGATACGATGTAAACATGGGGACTTTTAGTTATTCATCTCAACTTTATATACCAGTACTGCTTGAACTTTTTCCAGTGCTAAAATTGTTGACACAGTTGGTCATGACCAATTTTTTTTTTGAGAAATACTTCATTTTAAAAAAGAACATGGACATGCAGTTACATGTACATGTAGTTTGATAACGAAAATTTAATAAAATAAATTTAACATGTAGTATTGATAACGAAAATTTAATAAAATAAATTTAACATGTAGTATTGATAACGAAAATTTAATAAAATAAATTTAACATGTAGTATTGATAACGAAAATTTAATAACAGAATAGGAACCACAGTAAGTGTAAAAAATGATGGATTGGAAACAGAAGGGGGGGGGAGTAGAAAGCATTGCCAGTGGAATGCGGTGATGTCAATTGTACGTGAATCAGCACCATAGTTAACCCAACCATGACATAAAAAAACAGACCTTTGAATAGTGGCAGGCTTAACTGTTTTAACAAAATTGGGCGCGCCCTACGGTAAGTTGGCACTGGCAAAGTGGGGGCAGTGGATTAAGTTTGGACGTGACAATATGCTGTGTGGACGGTATCCATGCATACATGTACATGTAGAGGCCGTGCACCAGTCTGGATTTCAGATAAAAACTGCTTTGCTTTGTGACAGTGTATGGTACATGTATGCTGCTGTTAAGTTATGTGTACAGAAATGACATGTACATGTACAGTGCCTCCTGCACCGTAGTTGTCATGGTTGTGGGGACATACACTCGACATTTCACCTGTTTTGTGGCGACCAAAAATGTTGTGGGGACTCAGAAATGCCCCCGCAACTTGGTTCAAATTTCCCAAACAAAAGTACTTGTCCCCTTAACGCGGTGAATGCCTACCCATCATGTACATGTACCGTTCACAACACACTCTGAATGCTGAAGATTTTTTTTTCAGTACACATGTAGAGGTGTGAGGTATCAGTGAGTTTGAAGTCCTGGCGAAAATGGACATTACATGTACAATACGTCTGGGTGAAAATGTTGAATGTTCCTGTTGATTTGTATGTATATGCACGTGTGAACACTCAATCAGAACTGTCACAATCCTGCAACTGATAAAGCGTGAAGTACAAAAACTGTGTTAACCAAACAGAGCAGACCTATGCAGTATTTGCACAAAATGCACCCTCTTGTCTAAAGAGTAAGAAGTCAGGTGTTGCTTTGATAACAGCCAACACATTGGGAGATTTGCATCTGCAGTGATCTGCAGATATGGTACCGGTATGTAAGCACTGGCACCTCCTGTGATTGTGTAGCTAGACAGAAATACAGTGGGAAGGATGTTGCGTGGTTAATGTACTGTGTATTAACCAAACAGAACAAGTGACAAACTTTGGAACTGATTGAACCTACAGTGTATAAAGTTGGACAAGCACATTGTTGAATTCTTCAACATTAAATACTGCATTTTCTTGATTGAGTAAAGTTAGCATCACATTGGTAATGTATAGATGTAACTGATTGTAACGTGTCCGTATACATACGCACGTATGTATACGTGTGTTTGGTTTCCAGAAAAAAGTTAATTCTTAAATTGAAAATTTATACTTAATAAATAGAGCTTGAACACGTAGAATATGTGACAAATTTTTCAGTTGATAAATTAAATTATTTTAAAATGGAACAATGATTTTGTACATGTACATGTACATTTAACTTCTATAGAAGTTAAACTGAGGTACATGTACATTTATGTATAAAGAATAATGCATTCACTGTTGTACAATTTAATTTTATTGTCTTAGCTTCTTTTTTTTCAAACTTTGACCTGTACAGCACTCTTGCATCCGTTTGCAGGGAAATGAACACGAATGCAGGCTCTATTTACTTCCATGTACCATGATGTACAGGATTTTGCCTTTGATATTGTACAGATTCTGGGCAACACTTCAATGAATGCATGTATTTTTTAAAGTGAAGATGATTTATTGCCACGGTTGCATTTCGGTTATCAAATTACAATGATAAATTTCGTCTCACAGGTAACCCATCAACAGAAAATTTGTGCTCGTTATGTTGAACCCAAACCCTCAAAGTCAAAGGTACCGGTAGTCGAAGTGATGAAGTCCTCCATCACCATGGCCTTGTCTTCCTTATCATGTCGTCGTGATACGCTGAAACAAGATTGAATAGAAATGATAATCTGTTTATTCCCCTCCGATATTCGGCCCCGGCCCCTGCAACATCTCCATTTGCCATTGCCTGAATTTGGCACTCGGTGGATTCACTGCACGCACATGTAATGTACATGTATGCATGCACTGCAGTCCCAGCTTGTGCCGGTAATGACGTGAGCAGCCTACCGTTCCTGAAATATATTACCCAAATACCGTGCGCGCTAATGCATTATAAGCAGGTATTTATATTGTTCAGGCTGTACAGTGCTGCTTCAATTGCACTAGAAATGTACACATACATGTTCGTGTATGCTCATGTACATGTACGTGCATGGCATATATATGTACAGTATACTGCCTTTTAGTGTGTTTGTTGTACATGTACAAATGCCCCAAATAATTTCTGGTAGCCCTGGCGATGGCCAAATGAGACTGCAATAAGATGTACATGTCGCATGACTTAAAATTCTGTTCAGTTTGTTGAGTATGTACCAGTAATACTGAGATTCAGTCTTTCTGAATTAGGGCCGGTAGATGATTTTGTTATTCAGAACACATTCTGTAATTTCTAAGAGTGATGAATCAATGCAAACTACATTGTACCTGCTAAAAAAATAGAAATAACTTGAAATCAGTTTAGCGATTCATGTATTTCCGTGTAAAATTCCACAGGTCAGGTGTCACGGACACAAAAATGTCACGTTTGAACCGTGAATATATGCCCATTTATCCCGTCACAGTTTCTCTTTAATGTGGAATATGCAAAATAAATACAAGTCCCTGTAATAATGATTAAATACATGTATGAGGTGTGAACAGTGTTGAATTTGATTTACTGCTTAAAGATGAAGACTTGAGAATTGGCACATGTACATTATAAACACTGTTGAAATGAAAACTGAGAGATGTTTATGTCTGTCAAAAAATCCAAACAATTTATTGTTTATCTGATACCAGTAAATCAAATATTTACTGTGTTTACACCCACGTACTTAACTTGGATTTAAATATACCCGTACGTGAAGTTCATTGATTGTGATTTAATCTGTGATATCAATTTTTGATTAGCAGCACATCAGTCTTGTGTATTTTCTCTTAATACTCAATGAAAAATCTTTCCATTTTGTAATTTGATTCTTATTTATTTATTTATTTATTATTGATGCCTTTTTATAATACAAAAGGCATCGAAGTCCCTACTGTATGATTTAAAAAGATATGAAGTCTTAAGTTAAGTTCAAAAATATGTGTCTTGTTTTGCTGTATCAAGGCATTGGCGATTTTTAGTTTTTTAATTGTGAACGCTGTGTGTTGCATGCTTTTCAGACAGCCGGAAACTAATAAAGAGTGATAAAAAAAAGGCGAGGGGGAAATTCAGGTTTGAAATATCAATTAGGTCTGTTGCCATGCCGATTGAATGCATTCTTGTTTGGTAGTTATTAGGAGACACATTCACTTAATAATTGTAAGTACATTCGTCAGGAGAAATGTCTCAGAGACAATAAATGTACATGTAGCTCTGATACCATGACCAAAGATCATATGGCACCGCATAGCGGCGCAAGATGGCGAACTTCACCTTGAGTACACGTACATGTACATGTGTAGATCGTTGTAATCGCATGGGCGCCATTTGAGCAAGCGATACACGTGCGCAATGCACATTAATGGACAGAGCGCAGGCGCCGCAGCAGGCACGTGCACCTGCCTAGCCTGCGCCCAAGCATTACCGTAAACTGCGCAGGCGTATCGCTTGCTCAAATGGCGCCCATGGTAGTTACAGTGTACACCTTTTGGGCAGAGTTATCCATCTTGCGCCTTGGGCATGTTGGGTGCTATACGATCTTTGACCATGACCCAGACGGTCTTCCAGAGCTACAGTGTATGGTACTGTACACAGTGCACAGCTATGTCTATTGCTAGCATGCCTCTGTGTATTTGCAGTGGATGTACATGTACATGTACATGTACAGTACATGTACATATACACTGATATATGTAGACCTACATGTACATGTATGTACAGTGTACATGTACATGTAGCTGTAGACAACAGATTCAAATACATAAGTTCATTGCACATATGCTTCAGTCAAAAGGTAGCTATTACGTTTTCATCACGCTTCCAAAAATGATAAGATCCATTTTACACCCTCAAGGGGAAGGCACATGTACTGTATCAGACTGTAATGATTGTCCAAATGTCCTACTCTACGGTACTGGCTACGACTGGGATTGACATACCAGTACATGAGTCAGTGGGAAGCAGCCTCAGCCACAAGGCAGTGGCTTTCATAGGCACGTTTCCAGTTTCGCACATGGCCTGGTTTTTTTTGCATTTGGGCTTACAAGTTGATGCGACCATTTTTGGTCCATAAATCAGAATGATCACCCGAGCAAACTGGTTTCTAAAAATGTGCCACAATTGCATCGCCTTCATTCCTACTCATTGTGTCTTTGGAAAAGTATGTGCAGTGTGGGAAGGGTTTGCTGTGCTGAAGGTTGGATTGAGAACCAAATAATTATTTCTTTGGATAGGGGGGGTGGCTGGGAAATATACTGTATTGTGCTGATAAAGTCATTCTCAAACTTAGAAAAAGAAAAAGAAAATAATGTGCATTTTCATGTACAGTGCAGAAGACATCCAAGATTTCAGGTAGAAATGGAAAATCCAGTTTTGATGTCAACTAGAATTCAAAAGTGAAAACTAAGTCACCGATCATCAGAGCAGAAGATAATGTCAGATAACTCAGTCTATCAGTGGTCATACAGACAGAAAACAGATTCGGAAATAAACTCTAGATTACCCAAAGCCAGGCACGTAAGCCACTGGGTATAAACTGATACTGACTTAGAACGCGAATTGAACTACATGTTCATCAACCTTTTCGGTGGCTTTTTTTTTTCTGGTCAAGTACTTGTACCGGTACCTGTAGCAAACAAAAACAACGAGAGCAGTGCATCTTCGCGGCAAAATGGTGTCCCCAAAGTGACGTAGCAATGCAGACCCATTCCTGGAATCAAAGATATTTTTTATTTGTTCTCCTCTACAGGCGATTTCCGGCTGGTGTTTTGTACCTTGCAGGGGTCCTGCATGAGGGGGGGGGAAATCCGGAGGAACGGATGCCCGTCAGGGACAAGTTAGTCACCAGGGGGAACAGTTAAAGGATCTCGCAGGACAAGGGCAACACCTGGGCTAGCTGTTGTCTTCCTCCCGTCCACCCACATGCAGGCAAGAAGACAGTCTCCTGAGAGGTGAAAAAAAAAAAAAAAAACCAAGAAAAATTCTGCAGGCGAGTTTGATGAAAAGTTGCCAGGATGGATGGATTCAAGAGCTGTTGCTGAGGCTCCCTAGCTGACAGCTACTCCCACCGAGGGCCTCAACCGTGGGCTATTTTAGGAGGAATTCACTCACCAAGGAGGTAGATAAATGTGAGGGCCAATGCCTTTCCAGTTACCCCCTCCTAAATGCGCAATAAGCTATTCATTGTCTGTGAATGTTTGATCGTGCCAACTTGGTTTGCCGAAGGAAAGAAGAGATTTGATTACAACTGAGCTGCGAGCTGCAGCGTACAGTACTGTACTTGTCGTCAACGGTGCTTGCTCTGAACACAGACGACGCAGACGGTTTCAGCATTCCAAGTTGTGGACGGTGCGATAGTTGACTGGGAACTAATGTGTTAGGAACTTCTTCTCATCAGGCTGGAGCTCCACCCATCCTTCTGCCATCATGGCCAAGTTGTACGACTTCCAGTGGCAGATTACTGTACCCGATGGGCTGCTGAATGGAGCCACATTTGACCGCTATGATGAGGTAGGTCTGAAAGAACCTTTTCTCTGTACTGCTCTTCTTTCACAGAAATGGTGCTTTTTGAGTTAAAGAAGGAACTTGGGTACTGATCGTCTTTTGTAGAAGATGCAGCTCCTTGATAAATGTGGAATTTTTTTTTATTGCTAAAGAGTATACATGTATATATCTGTGCTCTGCTTAAAATGAAAGACTTTGGTTTTAGTTGGTGACTTTGGTCTTTCAAAAATATTGTTTTCATTGTTTGGTACACGTATAACACGCAGTAAAGTGTGCAAAGACTCATGATGGAATAAGGAACCGAATGTACGCAGACTTGCTTTTTCATTTTCTCAAATTCTGTTATTGTTTTTTTCATCATTGTGTGTATGTACCAACCTTTTTTTTTTCATCTTCATGTGGACCTGAGAACAAAGCAGGTCCACATAATGCAGGTTTTGAACCTATTGTGGACCAAGCAGATCCCCACTAGGTTTTCCTGCCTCTGAAGAACAGGTGTAGAAGCATTCTTGAGGTTAGGGTTAACAGCAGCAAGAGGAAGAGGAACAGTCAAAGAAACCATTGACAGAAATCCAGCATAAAAGAGTGTTCACAATTCAAGAAAACAATAGTTTCTGTTGTACTTATTAAGGATGGACTGTCCGCATTACCTATGGGTGCGAGTACATATACATGTACATGCAGTGCTAATGTAGGGGTGTTTAATGACTCATTTGAAAGTGATTCAATTTGATATGTTCATGGGCTCGCACTCCCAAAAGTATAGACACGTCATCTTGTAACAGTGGAGTTCTGTATTCAGACAGAACATGCTGAAAGTAGAGTGCATCATACATGTACCGCTACACGTACATGTAGGTCATTGAGAGCGTCAGTACGGATAATGGGTGCATGAAGTCGGCCCTGTGGTGGCAGCTACATGTATATATGCCGATTCACGCAGGTGGAGAATGGCCAAACTAGCATGAAATCAGATGCTTAGCCTTCTTGAAATACTGAAATGGCTCATGAGAAAAAAAATTGTATTTGTGCAGCTTTGCTCATTTTTGGGACGGTCAGCTCGGTAAATATTGTTGAGATGAGGAGCGGAACCGGTTTTATTGGCATCTGCAAATGAAACTGACATTTACAGTCAAAGTCAACTGCCTGCAACGAGGCACAATATTAACCCAAGCCCGATCTGGCAGTCCTCAGCACTGCACATTCAATATGAGCCCACATGTGTACCTTGATGAGGTTTATGGATTGCTGAGTGTGGCAGCCGGACTATAATTAACGCGGACCACGTGAACTGTGTCTGTGCTACGTCAAACTGAGGTATACGATACCTCAATATTACAATGTTAATAAATGGGAAATATTTTTGTCTGTTAATCGTCAAGGGGTGCCATCATGTTTTACATGTACCAGTGGGTTTTTTTTTTTTTTTTACTTCCACATGGACCGGTACTTTGCAGGAAGCTTGTGGGTTTTAGTCCTATTCAAGTAGGCAACAGATTTCTTCTTTCTATGAGATGCTTCGATAGGCCTACAGCATTTTTTTGCTGGCAAAGGCCTTATGAAACCTAGGTTCAGAATATGAATGCTCTCAGTTCCATCACCCATCAGCCGTCTTGAGGATAAGTTCAGTTGTGCCGATAGATTTTATTCTTGCTGCATTTTCTTGCTTTCTTACAAAGAAGACAGCACAGTACAGGGCTCTTGGCAAGAATGCACAAAGCATTGGTTGGTCGCCCTTTGTTTTTCCCTTCTAGAGAGCTTGATGTACATGCAAATGTACATGTACATGTATTTGTGCAGCTGCTAGTTACTTTCAGTTGAATGAGCACAATCCCTATATCTGTATGCTGGGTGTGCGCAGCACTGATGTGTCTGTAAATTAAAAGGCTCCATCAAATTCATAACTTGAAAATTATGTGTGCAGACATCAGGTGGGAAGGACGTGTTCCAGATCAGTTGATCCGACAATTAATGATCCGGCGTGCTTGTATGACTTGCTTAGAACAACTACCGGTATCATCAGATTAAAAGGACACATTCCTGTATGCAGAGTCTTGTCAATATTTGTTTTCGGAAACCACTAGGCTCCATTTACATATGTACAATGCATCGCCAAGACATGAAATATATTTGGCCACATCCTTTAAAATCTGGAATCATAATCTCTTTCGTACACAAGGCATACAGTGAAAGTGTGTACAGATCTGTACGTGCGCTGTTATTGGATGGGCAGGCCTGCATCTGTACAGGTGTACATGTACATGTACACGTCCGCGTACGTGCATGCATAATGCTGAACACGTACATGTACTGTAAATGTGTACAAGTAGGCACACATTCATGCACATGCATACACTGTCATTCTGTTGCAAGTAATCTGTGGTCATTGCTGGATGATTATTGGTACACTGTATACATGTATAATGAGAAAGAATGTTCTTCAGCTGAATCACGTACAAAGATACATAATCATAATCCTACCAGTGTTCTAGCAATTTATTTCCATATCAATCCATCAGCCTGCATACAGAAAAAAGTACTATTCACCACCTCTCCACTTCTTCCTGTTAACATTTTCCTTTGTAAACACAGTCCAGCAGCCCCTACGTGTATGTGATTGGAATTACTGGAATGCATTCGGAGCACATTTCAGGACAGATTATTGGGATATTCCCCCCAGGGTTGGCTGATTTATATCGCTTTGATTAAATCACCGATTCAAATCAAATAATTTTTTTTTAAATCATCGATTTGAATCAACATATTCAATTTTCAAAAAAGGCAAAAATGTTTTAATTTTAAAATTGTTTCGACTGACTGGCTTCTTTTTGCAGGTTTTGCATATTTTAAACTACAAATCTGCTTCTGTGAGCCTTTCAGGTCCCAGTATTGATAAAAAGTATGAATGCATATGTCTTACACACCAGGGTTGATGATTTTTTTTCGTTCAATTCAAGCCACTTGTTTTGATTTAAATTTGCTTTTTGGATTCAGTGAATGAATTTGATATGAAGGATTTATGATCATGATTTAATTTTACTTCATTTGAATTGCCCACTTAGAGTTTGACATGGTGGAATATCAGTGTACATGTACACTGTACATTCTTCTAAGTACTGGAACAACCTCCCCTATGAGATGTTTTAAGTTGCAGGTAACATCAACCTTTTGTCTCTACAAGTACATATGTATTTTATTGAGATTAGAAATATTCGGTCATTATGCAGTGAAACATGCACCAGTAACAATATGCTTTTAATAAAGTGATATGTAATCAAACCTAAGTCATTGCTCTTTTAATCACAAAGGAGCTGAATCACAAACAAAACGAGACTACTTTTTGTGCATACATGTACGGTACTAGGGCAATGTAACATACCAGTCTATACGTACATGTACATGTAGCATGTAAAATACATGTACTTGTGGTGAATCGCATGTTCTTCACTCATTAGTTACTTGATACATGTAGAAGTACCCTGTTAACAAATTCTTGTGAACTCTAGTTTTGTCAAAACTTAGAGTTTGGTTAAAACCTGGTACACACTTTATCCTTAGTACATGTACATGTACCATACATGTGCATGTACCGTACCTTTCTCTGAAGGAAGTGTCGTCTCTGCTGGTACAGCTGTACATGTACATGTACATGTACTGGTAGGTGCTATACTGCATGCATTTCACTGGGTTTAGACAATATTCAAGGTGGTTTGTGAATTTAGTCAATTTCTTGATTTAAATTCTTAATTCAAGTCTAGATTTGTTAAATTGTTTAGCAAAAGAGATAAATGAATGGAAATTAATACACATGCATCTACATGTAATTTGCTCCCATTTGAAAAGATAATTGAGCCAAAATGTCTCCAATTTTCATAAAGATTAAAAAAATCTGATTTAAATTTTCAAAAATCTGATTTAAATAAAAAACCATATGATTTGAATTATTTTTTATAAAATAAAAAAAAAATCCCCAACCCTGATTTCCCCCCTTCCTTTTTTAAACTGCTTGTCACTTTCTCGAATAAGCTTGTTGGGAAATGCCAAGAGGCTAAAGTACCTGTGGGTAGAAAAATTAGCTGTCTGGTCTGTGGATGAGTTGTTTTATGGGAATTCCATTGGTCTGCATCATGTCAGGATAAAAATTAATAAAACTAGCTAAGATACGACCCTTGGAATTACATGTCTTTGTTTGGGAAGAAAGTTTGATCTCATGACATAAATTTGTTGCTCTTTAGAAGCACATTGTCAAATGTTGAAATTGCAAATCAGGGCCATTATTCTCATTTCATTTTTACATGCGTCTTGTTTTGTCATTAATTAGTGATTTTATTTGATTCTTATGCCTTCATTGATTACAATGGTGATTTCATGAAAAAGAATTCTTTCAAACTAAATCAGTTTTTCTAGTTGAAGTCGAGGGAAAAATTCAACATTCAAAAATTTGATTTACTGTCCTTCAGCGTCTGTCGCAACACCCATAATTCTCTATATTTGAAAGCAACTGAATTACCTTGGTGGATCCATTTTCTTAGTGGTTATCTGCCCCGAGCTGAATTGCACTCCCAATCGGCAAAAGAAAGACAGGTGGTTACAAGCGGGTTCTTGCACGCATTCTGCTTGTACGCAAAGACCATACATGCCTGAATAAAATAGTTACACGTACTCAGTGTTCTCCGCGTCAAACGCGTATATACCTGCGCGCCTCATGGCACGCCTAAGCGTTGAGTACCAAAAATAAACATGCCCTCATTTGTTCAGCTTGGAGCGGATTACGAGGGGGCGATGTGTACAAGACATTGTATGGACTGGTACGTTTACATGTACAGTACCTGATAGACATCCAAACACCACTAAGCTGCCTGAAAATGGTGACCGTTATCCCCCATAATCATCTTGTGAAGCATGGAGAAAAGTATGCATTCACACAAAACACGAGGGCTGTACATCCAGACTACCGGTAGATACAGCACCAGGCCCATTGACGTCAGGAACGGAGTTATTGGACT